AAAACAAAACAAAACAAAAACAACAACAACAACAACAACAACAAAGATAGAGCTCTATATAAGCCTGTAGAGCATGTTCTTAATTAGTGATTGATGTGGGAGGGCCCAGCCTTTGTAGGTGGTGCCATCCCTGGGCTGATGGTCCTGGGTTCCATAAGAAAGCAGGCTGAAGCTGGGCAGTAGTGAGGGGCTCCTTTAATCCCAGCACTCAGGAGACAGAGGCTGGCGGATCTCTGTGAGTTCAAGGCCAGCCTGCCCTACAAAGAGAGGGCGGGAGGGCTGCAGGGGGTGGGGTGGGAATGGGTAGCAGGCTGAGCAAGCCAGTGAGCAGCTTTCCTCTAAGGCTTTGCCTCCAGGTTCCTGTTCTTTTTGAGTGACTGTCCTGGCTTCCTTCACTGATGAACAGTGATGTGGAAGCATAAACCAAATAAACCCTTTCCTCCCCAATTTGCTTTTGGTCATAGTGTTTCATCACGGTTTCTCAGTGTAGCCCTGGCTGTCCTGGAACTCACTCTGTAGACCAGACTGGCCTCAAACCCAGAGGCTAGCCTGCCTCTTGCTCCTGAGTGCCTGTAGGGGGTCAGGCCCTGCTCAGGCTGCAATAACTTTGCAGTTCAGAAAAGTCATCTTCCAGAGAGAGGCAGGCAGAGAGAGGGACAAGCCAGTGAGGTATCAAGTGCCAGTCAGTGCTGATAAGAAAATGCAGCTGGTTTAGAGGATGCAGATTAATGAGTGGGGCACTTAAGAGGCCAGGGAAGTGTATCTGTCAGCTGCGGCTGTATAACAAACCCCCACTGATGGGACACGGTAGTAGTACACGCCTTTAGTCCCAGCACTCAGGAAGCACAGGCTGGTGGATCTCTGAGTCTGAGGCCAGCCTGGTTTATAAAGCAAGTTGCAGGACAGCCAGGGCTACACAGAGAAACCTTATCTTGGGGAGAAAAAAAAAAAAACAAAACAACAATGACAACAAAAAGATAGATGGTGCTTTGTTGTAGAATATTATTTTTGAATTTATTTTTATCTTATGTGCATTGGTGTTTTGCCTGCATGTATGTCTGCGTGAGGGTGTCAGATCTTGGAGTCACAGACAGGTGTGAGCTGCCGTGTGGGTGCTGGGAATTGAAACCTTATCCTCTGGAAGAGCAGTCGGAGCTCTTAACCACTGAGACACCTCTCCAGCCCGGAATATTATTTTAAGATGTGTTACATTTGTTTATGCTGTGGAACGTTTGTTTAATGATGCAAAATGTGTTGTGTTGCATTCTTTTATGTTGCATTTTTTAACTCTGGGAAGCTGCATTACTTTGTCTGTCTAAACACCTGATTGGTCTAATAAGGAGATGAACAGCCAATAGCTAGGCAGGAGAAAGGACAGACAGGGCTGATGGGCAGAGAGAATCAGTAGGAGGAGAAATCTGGGGAGAGAAGAGATCTAGGAAAAAGAAAAGGAGTAGGACATCAGGGGCCCACCGCATAGGCAGACACGGAACAAGAAGGAAAGAAAAGATATACAGAAATAGAGACACGGTAAAGCCCAGAGGCAAAAGGTAGGCAGGTTAATTTAAGATAAGAAAAGCTGGCTAGAAGCAAGCCAAGCTAAGTTATGGGCATTCATAAGAAAGAATAAGCCTCCATGCTTCCTTGTGTTTATTTGGGAGTTGGGTGGAGGGCCCCCTCAAGAGCAAAAAAGTAAGAGTTAAAACAACAACAAAAAAAACAAAAAACAAAAAACAGTGCCTAAGAAATAACCTCTAGGTTGACCTCCAGCCTCTACATACGTGCTTACACATGCATAAATGCCTCTGGGGAAAAGAACATGAACTTCTTACAAAAAGGGAATGTTTGTTTAGAGAAAGCACATTCAGTCATTGGAGACGTGGCACTGGGGTCCAACCGTCTGACATCTTGCTGGGCAGTTGGCCAGGAATGCTCACTAACAGTGTTTCCTGCTTTTGACCTGGCTGCCCTCCTCTGTTAGCAATCCTCCTTAACCCTCATACAACTCCTCAACTCCTACCCCCGCCCCACCTGGGGTTCTCACCCCATGGAGGGCCGCCTGAGCTCATTTACCTTCACACTGAACTTATCTGGGGCTCAGAGAGTTGGAAAGACCAGCGGGGCCATGTGGGGTTACAGGCAACAGATTTGAGAGCACTGGGGTTGGTGTGCCAGGTGGGAAGGGATGATTCTCAGTGAGAGCTCAGTGAGGGCGGGTGTGCCGTTAGTGAAGGGACTCAGTCTCAGAAAACAGCTGAGGACCTGGGGCATGTTCAGGAACCCTTTCAAGAAAGTGAGGCCAGGATTGCCTCCCTGCTGTCAGCAGAGGGACTCTGACTGCAAGGCCTGGAACCAGAGGTGCTTTACGGGACTGCTCAAGGCTCAAGCACCCTCCTGGCCCATCCCCCACTTCTCACCCTCAGGTCTAGCCTTCTCACTGGTTCACTGGCTGTGGGAAATGGCAGGCTTGGGCAGAGTCAGCTCAGGTCCCCAAAGCAGAGGTTAGCACCCAGTCTTTGTTTTCAGTCAGGAGAGAAGATGGTCCTCCCTGCCTGGTGAGACAGACAGATGGACCCAGACTTGTAGACTGACAGTGGGATTTCGTGCTTGAGTCACAGCTGACTGTGACCTGTCTCCTAGGTCCCAGGCATCTTTGTCTTAGGCAGGGTTTCTACTAGTTGGATGATTCACCATGACCAAATGCAAGTTGAGGAGGAAAGGTTTATTTGGCCCACACTTCCACATCGACAGTCCGTCACTGAAGGAAGCCAGGACAGGAACTTAAAGGGCAGGAACCTGGAGGAAGGAGCTGATGCAGAGGTCATAGAGGGGTGCTGCTCACTGATTGAACCCCAAGTCTTGCTTAACCTACTTTCTTATAAAACCCAGGACCACCATCCCAGGGGTAACACCACCTACAATAGGCTGGGCCCTCCCTCATCAATCACTAATTAAGGAAACCCTAGAGGGCAGTGGTGGCACATGCCTTTAACCCCAGCACTCAGGAGGCAGAGGCAGGTGGATCTCTGAGAGTTCAAAGCCAGCATGGTCTACAGAGCAAGTGCCAGGACAGACTCCAAAGCTGTAACACAGAGAAACCCTGTCTTGTAAAACCAAATCAAACAAACAAACAAACAAACAAAAAACTAACTAGCACAAACCAGGCATGTTTGCCAGGCGGTGGTGGCACACACCTTTAATCCCAGCACTCGGGAGGTAGAGGCAGGCGGATCTCTGTGAGTTTGAGGCCAGCCTGGTCTCCAGAGTGAGTTTCAGGGCAGACAAGGCTACACAGAGAAACCCTGTCTAGAAAAACTATGCAGCACAATCTTTAGGTACAATTTTTGCATCACTTATAAGAAGCCACAGCCTGGGTTGCAAGAAGGGAATCTACACAGAGAAACCCTCTCTAGAAAAACTATGCAGCACAATCTTTAGGTCCAATTTTTGCATCACTTATAAGAAGCCACAGCCTGGGTTGCAAGAAGGGAGAGTAAGGTCTGGAGAAGCCATTTATTTGCTCAAGGCCAAAGGCTTCCAGGGTAAGTCAAAGATAAAGATACTGTATAGTATCCCATCCCTGCCACCATCTGGGACCCCACGAGACCCCACCTACTGCAGCCCCACCCATGCCCACCAGGGCACTTGTGAAGCTGTGTTCAGAAAACCCAGCCTGCTTCAACCAGTCCAAGCAAATAAACTGGAAGATGGGGAACGGGGCTGGGGAGACCAGGGCCCTCCTGGGGCCATTTGCCTAGGTAGGCCTGGACCCCCACACTTCATGCAGATGCAATGTGTAGACAGCACCAACCTGATGCCGGGCTGTTGGTTCTGGCTTGGCCCAGCAAGCTCACCAAGAAGAGATAGCTGAAGGGACACTTCCCTCTAGAGTCCCCATGTGCACGCCCCTGTCTCCCCACCCATGGTGCATGCCCTCAGGGAGCCTGGGAGCAATGTGATCACATTCCCAGAGAGGAGGGCACTCCTTCTTTCCCTCTAATCAGTTGACCCCACTTCTTGGATCTTGCTGGACTGTAATTGCTGTGGGCAGAGTGCTTCAGAAAGCAGGCAAGAGTGTTTGGGGGAACCCTCAGACCTTCCACAGGAGGGTGCCCATGGTAGAGCAGACCCTCAGTGTGCCCTTTCAGTGTCTGTGGCTCTGTCTGCTGCTTTCTGTGCTGTGTGACAGCAGAGGCCTTTAATCTCAGCACGAAGGAGGCAGAGGAAAGTGGATCTCTGTGAGTTCGAAGCCAGCCTGGGTTCAATCCAGCCAAGGCTACATGGGGAGACCCTAGACCCTGTCTAAAATAAAATGGGGTAGGATGAGTGCTTGCTCAGGGTCAGCTAGCACCAGACAATTAAGAGTTCACTTTTTTCCCACGCCTCTGTGGCTCCTCATTCCGGTTTGACTGAGACCTCGTCGGGCCTTCTCATCGCCATTCCTTGACCTTTCATCCTAGCACACCCCACTTCCGGTAACTGTTGTGTTAGTTTGTTTACATCTTCACCTCACACCTCTCTTCATATCTGTTCCTGCCTATCACATCCCATTGGTAATGTCCTCATCTGGGGACAAGGATTAATAGCCAGGCTTGAGGCCCATGGGCTCCCGACTCTCCCTATCCCTTAGCCAGTGCCCAGCCCACGTTTATGGGGCCTCAATCTCACCAATGTGGATGACAGGCGAGCTATACTTCCCAACAGACTCGTCCAAACAGCAGCAAATGTCACCCACGCCCAGGATCTTGTTCCTAAGCCCTTCTCCTTCTGCCCTCAGGACTCAGCTGTCATGGCCCTAGTAGAAGACTGTGTCCCCTTGCCTGCTGGGACTTCAGCGGAGGACGAGGGCTGAGCCTGGCAGGCAGGGAGGAGGGAAGCAGAGCCTATGAGCTGGCAGACAGAGGGCGTGTGTCCCTCTGCCAGCACACTTCCTGGGTTTCCATTGCAGGAAGTTTGGCACCTGCCTATCGGTGCCACTGATACCCAGGCTGGTGCAGGCGACTTTTAGCCAGGACAATCCCCCCAGCTGGGAGCAGCAGGAGGAGGTGGAACAGAAGCCAGGGGTGCAGGACAGCTGGTGAGTCGTAGCAGCTGGACCCCATAATGCCTCAGAATGTCCCAAGCATAGAGTGGAGGATGTGGGAAAGCCGGGGTCCTAGATTTAGTCCCTTTGACCTTGGGTAAGGCCCTGAGTCTACCCTCATTGTTTCACTGGGCAGAGCAGTGGGGTAGACGGGTAGGCTGGGAATAGGGTGGAAATACAGAGAACCGGCTAGTTCCTTTTTGACTTACTAGAGTTCTGAGACTCTGCAGCTACATGTGTCTGAACTCCCTGCATGGCACCATCTGTCTCTGACTCGGTGGCACCCTCCTTTTCCAGCAGAGGTCATAAGAGTCTTCATACCCATTGCAGAGGCCCCATTGCCAGGTTGGGACCATACCCAAGGGGCCCTTGGGCACAGGTAACCTCAGTGTAGTACCAGGCTCTACCCTTGGCTCTTACCTGGGGATGGTGGCAGCGATCCAGCCTCTGTGACTAGCAGATTCATGTGCCTGGAGGGTCACCCTGTGGTCTGGCTTGAATCCAACCTCGCCCCTTGCCCATTGTACCACCCTTGATCCGAACCAGCTTCAGGGTCTGGTCTGTAGGTGGGGCAGTTCAGTCCTGGAGTAGAGGCTGGAAAGGTTAAAAGTTTGAAAGGGACACAGGGGAAGCCTCTAGAGGTGGCAGCTACTGTAGCGACTGTCTTTGTCACTCCACACTGGCAGGAAGAACCAAGTGGAAAAGGCTGGTGACAGAGGGAGAGAAGGCTGTTAAAGGGGTGTGGGGCTCAGTTGTGGAGGAAGAGGATGGAGATAAGCACCCCCACTCTGATGTCTTAGTGGGGTGGTCCCTTCAGCAGTAACCGCAGGACCGCTGTGAGGAGTGGATTGGCTGTGGGCTGCAGAAGGGGACCCAATCCTGCCTGGCTGCCCCTGTCCCAGCGATGACTCTGGGTCCAGCTCTCCCCTGTCCCCTCCCCTATTGTAGCTTTAATCAAAAGAACAATCTGCTCGCCTGGGAATCAGACCCAGATTCCGTTCCCCAGCAATGTCCTGAGGCCTCTAGGGACCTGTGCAGCCCAGCCCCAAGCCAGGCCCCAGGCCCCAGGGCTCTGCTTCTTCAGGGGCCAGTAACAGGGCCAGGAAGCAAACAGGTGGCATGAGTGTCAGCTCCTGGTCTCCTGTTGGGGC